TGTTTGTTTCAGATTCAGCGTAAAAATTTGAATGTATAAAAGTCATTTATGAATGACTTTTTAGGTTCAACTTTTCACGCTGATTCGAAAGCAAACAGTTTTGAAATTCGATGCAAACAAGAAAACTGACAATTTATCAGAAAAGTGAGTCATCAGAAGAAACTGAAACCATTCCTTCAAGCATTCATTCCAAAAAAATGACAAATATCCATATTCTTGATCAGCTTGTCATACTCTATCTAACCCTATTTAAAAAATCTGCCTTAATTTTGAATTTTTGTCATCGAATGCATTTCTTCTTCATTCGCTCGCAACGACATTTGTAATCGATAAACTAGAATATATGTGAATATTATTCATCATCTTTATCTCAAACATTAGAAATAAATAATTTTGAGTGACTTTCGCGTTTCTTCAACTTTTCCTGTCACAGAAGTCATTTTCAAATGAATTGATACGAAACATGCGTCAGTTGTGTTCGTACTGTTTGATTGTAAGTTCAATGTAGATAATCAAACAAACAGATCGACATATTTTTAAATCAGCTGCATCGCTTTATTTATTCATTATTGCTTTTGCTAGAGAAAGAACAAAAGTGCAATTTGTCTCTCAGAATACTACAAAAGAATTTTTCAGGCAGTAAACATCCTCAAGAAATTAGAGTAATTAATCTGTTGTATTCAACTGAAATACTATGTAGATCAGGTTTTTAGATGATATGACAAGGTTTCTTTTGAAAAAAACAACAATCGATATTTTAAAAGACCTTAAAATAAGACACAGAAGAGAAAAATAAATGGAAAACCTTTGTCTCACTTATTATTTATTGTTTTCACGATAGAATATCATTTGATTTCGACTTTTAAGGATGACTACTTATCGACGAGTAAAGAGATGCATCAGTCGAAAAAGAAAAAAATAGTGTCGAAAGACGGTGTCGACAGTTCAAATCAGCAAATAGTCATCACGTTGGATGGTACAGATACGAATCTTCAAGAAAACATAAACCAAGAAGAGATTAACATGCAAAATGACCATGCAGGGTGTCATACATATATTTTATAATACATTTTTTGACTCTTTTGAACCCACATATTCACTTCTCAATTTTAATCAAGTGTAATACTAAGGTGCTCTCTTTCTTCTCTTATAAAGTTAGTCGTTGCAAATTTCTCGACGAATATGTTCATGTGCTGCATTGATATACACTGGATTCCATATCTTGGATCGTGATCTAGTTCAATATTATATTCGAAATTTCTTTGATTTCTGGCATCACATTTTTGTCGCTATATTCCTTTGTGGCTTTGTATTTTGCACCTAATCAACGAATACTATGGAAAGTAGAATTGGTCTTACAAGTAAACCTGTATTAATACCAATAGGCTTGAATATTGACATTGAAAGTATCGATAAATAGTGGTATTATTGCCACTCGTATTGATTGGTATTAAGGTATTGATACGCTTTCAAATATTGGCATTTATATTAGTGAGTTTCTTGCTTCTATGCATCGTTTTCTCGGAAGATCTCGCACATTGTCGAGAAACGATTGAAAAAACTTATTTCTTGATGTAGAAGTAATCGGTTGTACAAAACTACGCAATATTGTCCTGGTTTTGTACATATACATAGCTGTATTATGAGGCTATGAATATGTAAACGTCATCTGTCTTTGTTCGTTCTTGCAGTATTTTCGTGAGCCCGTTAACTGTCGAGATAGGGCTGTATCTATGTTTGTTTGAAGAGACGAAGCACTTCAGTACGAACACCCGTATTCTACTGTTAGTAGATGACCAGATGTAATCTTGAACCAGATCCTAACCAGAGCTGCCAGACTGGCCTGCTGCCTGTCAGGCACCTGGCCTGGTAAGGCTAGAAAATTTTTGACCTGGCCTACAGGCCAGGCCAGGCTAAAATTCTTAGCCTGGGTATGATTTAATACTAACATTTATAGTAATCAATTCTAAGAATAAGACGACTTCACGAGTCGATGACAATTGCTTTTGATATTTTCTGTTGATCATCTATTCGAATCAACGTTTCTATCCGTTTTATAAGGTCTTTTGACTGTGTGTGTTACTATTAACTTTTCATTTCTCGAACACTCAGAATTTTTCAATCTCCTTTTGAATTTTCTCCTTTGATGATATGCAGCAACAATTATTTCTAGCACTTTTTGTGCCAAAACTATTTTAAATGCTTCTTACTGATTCAATCTTGTACTAGGGAAGAACGCGCTATTCAATTAAAGAGTTTCATGATTCCAAGAGCTAGTCTAAACTAGAATCAAATTTAAAGTTTCGTTTTATGAAAATGATGGAGAATCAAGTTCTGCCCACTTGTATAATTATCGTGTGAATAAAATTCGTCAAACCTTAAGATTAGTAGAAGGTTTTAAGCTAATTTTGAGGAGTTCTCATTCATATGTATTGGAGATTGAAGGTACCTTATATATCAATAAGTACTTAAGATAATCGATACTTTCCATATCTACGCAGTTATAACTTTATTCCAAAAAAATTCAAATATCTCCACATAAATTCCTAAATTTCAACATCTATCTGATTGGCTACATGTTTGAAAGTATTTCATTTTAGAACTCAGGCCCATACTCATGTGTCAAAGATTTTCATAAAACCGATCTTAAAATTGATTCATGGATGCTCTTAGTTGAGAATTGGCATACTACATTCTATTGCTCTCATGATAACAAGTCGGATGACTAATCGAAACGTATACAATGAATTAATGCTAATTTGGAAATTTCATAATTGTAAAAAGTTTGAAACATTAGTTCGCCTGGTTTGGCCTGCAGGCTAGGCCAGACTGAAAAAAGTTGAGCTGTTGACAGCTCTGATCCTAATCCATTCACTTCCGTCTAAAATGGATTACGTAGTAAATGATGAACATCTAGTAACGTTGAACGAGGATCATGAGGCTAAATCTGAAAGAAAAGCCAAGCGTAAGAAGAGCAAGATGGAAAGTCAATTATCATACCCATCTGATGAACGAGAAGCGGCTTTGGATGAAGAACAACCTGATGAACATCAAAGACAAAGAGTAGAAATAATGAAGGATGGTCGTGTTGCGATTGATCAACAGATGAGTGAAAGGTACCAAGTTTTAGGAAATATGGTCGTAGACGAAATTCAACAAGTTCTCAATGAACTAAACAAGGTTGACACGTATTTTTCTCCGATTATTGGGTATGCTGAGGAGCCTTTGTTGCCACTTTCTGAAGTATGTGCTCCATTGGCCGATATTCTTCATAACTTATCGTTCTATATGCAACTGGCACTAGATGAAACTCCCGAAAATCCACCTGATGGGTTGACAATTGATGAGAGCGCTGCCGTTCGTCTATACACGATTGAATGGGAAAGACCACATCGAAGCCTGTATTCAATGCTCAATTACACTTTGAAAGGCGGTAATCGCGAAGAGCTTCGGCCTTATTTTAAATATCTAAAGTTATTCTTGACTGCACTGGTCAAAATTCCGTGTGTCCCACCGTTGACTGTTTGGCGAGGAGTTACAAGAGATTTGAGCGCGGAGTTTCCACCTGGTACCCCAGTGACATGGTGGTCATTTTCTTCATGTACAACATCACTAACTGTCTTGGAGAATAACTTGTATTTGGGCACTACAGGAGCAAGAACTCTATTTTCTGTTGAAGCCATTAATGGACGGACAGTACGTGACCATTCACATTTCGTCACAGAAGAAGAGATTCTTCTTCTACCTGGTACTCATATGATAGTGCAATCACAATTGAGTCCAGCACCTGATCTCTATATTATTCACTTGAAACAAGTCATACCGGAGGAAACCTTGCTTGAGCCTCCATTCGAAGGTAACTTACAAGATATCAATTCTGCATTCTGAATGTCAGATTTTATTTTTTTAGGTGCACATCTATATCCGGAAGTGAAGTGAGTTTCATTTTGTTTTTATCTAAAAGTGTTTTCGATATGAAGACTTCTGATTGTAATTTGCAGACGTTCCTGGTATAAAAAGAAGCGATTCTTCGTACCTCTCTCTTTATTTATAATTCTATGTATCGGCGCAATCATTATTGGTTCTGTTCTTGGATCACGAAAACAAGTCAACATTCCAAGTATGCCTTTTCTTTAATGTAGCTTTCATTGGCATTTAGAACAATTTCCCATACTTTATCTTGTATTAGTCGTATTGAGCATACATCGACAGATACTCGACGACACACCTATAACTCTATTGAACCTGTGTTCAATTCACCCAAAATTTCGTCTTGACAAGCTCGAAAGAAGTTCTAATAATTATTAATAAGTACATAAAAAACAATTTTCATGTTGAATTCAAAAACTATTGGTTGTATTGTATAAGTAATCAACGTATAAGGAAGTTTAAATCAGATTCAATCTTTCGAATTCAAGATGTATACAAAAAATCCTCTATTGCCCGAATAACATTGGCTAAGTCATACCAAACAGTAAATTTCTGAATAATTGAATCAAGGACATTGATGTCACATCTAGTACTATCACAATTGAGTTATGTTGTCAATAGTACTTATCCTAGGTGGAAGATGTTACGTTATTAATATAGTTGTTATAACAATAGTAAGAACTATGAATGCGTTTTAAAGAAAAAAAAAGTAACAGATCACTTTTGCTTTCTGAAAAAAGTCAAAATTCAAGTTGAAGAGATGACTGGTAGCGTTAATCAAGCATATTAATTCTAGTAACATCGTTGCCTACATCTGTGGATTCAAGTATCCTTAGAACGAATTTTGACACAGATTACTAGAAAAAACAATCTCTTTCTTCTTGCTCCTCCCGAGCTGGTATCATTTTTTTTCCAAATATCTTCCAAATAAGTGAAATGGAATTTAATTTCCTAAAATAAGATCCAAGCTAAATGAAATCTTGTCAATTTCGATTCCTACTTTCAGTTCATCATACTGTTTAACAACTGAATTGTCTCATGTTAAATTTAGCATTATGCGAAAACGAGAATGAAAATTATCAACAACTTTGAATTTTGTTGTTTTAGTATATCAATGCAGTGACCCATATCCATCGTCAGCGGCCTCTGAAACTGGAAAATTACCAGTTGCCATAGTGTTTGGAGATTTCATGAATGTCAACCGCGGAGATTTGGCAGTTCTCAACTATGATGATCGAAGTGTTGATATACTTCTTGGTAATGGAAACAATGACTATGAGACTGAATACTACTATACGACAGATGCTGCACCAAATTCTGTGTTTAATGTTGATCTAAACCATGATGGACTCATGGATATTATAGTAGCGAATGGAGACGATGACAGCATTAGCGGCCTACTTGATAATGACGACGAAACATTTCAGACTTCGATTGAATATTTAGTCGGTGACAATCCAATGTCAGTAACAGGAGGTGATTTCAACAATGATACGCTAACAGATATATTAGTAGCGAACTCTGATGACGATACGGTTAGCTTGGTGTTGGGCGATGAGGAAGGCACATTTTCTGATATTCAAATTGCTTTTGACGTTGGCTCAAAACCGGTCTATATCATCCCAGGCGAGCAAAGGACGGGTAAAAAGACTAGTCTCATATCTAGTCCTGACGGGACGTCCTGTATAGTCTTTTTCTCAAATCGGACTATACCATGACTAGTCCGGAAAAAGTTGTCGTCCATAATACCCGTCCAGACTATGTTACTGATGGGCGTCATTGGCTCTGACATGTCTAGTCTGTTTCACTAAAAAGACCCGTCTAGGACTAGTCCTGTAGGAGGACTTTTTGAGAAAAAGATTAGTCAGGACGGGTAACAGCGACACCACATAGAACAAGTTGTAGTCTTGTGTAGTGGACGAGTTCGGACTAGTCTAAATGAAAATGTGTGAAGATGAACGTTAGATTCGAACATGCATACAATGTGTTACTTACCCATCGTTTAGACCATTGAGTCATATGATCAGCAGATAAACTCTACACATACATAATCATTCTAAGATGCTATTTAATATAATTTTATTCCACGTTTTTGATGTTCGCATTTAAATAAAAAATTATCGTTTACAAAATAGGTCATTAATTAAACAACACTAGATAAAACAAAGTCAAAAAAATTTATATTTTTTGGATAAATATTTTTTATTACTATTAAGTAGGAATAATTAGTTATGCTAAAAAAATTAATTTTAAATGCAAAAATAAAAAACAATTTATATTGAAAAGAAACTCGATTTTTCATATCATGATTTAGTTTACCTGAAAATTTAAATCATCGTGTCTTCAGCTAAGTATTAAATTAATTTTGTTTCAATTAAATCTACTTTTAAATTTAAAAATTTATTAGAACTGATATTTAAAGCAGCAATTATGGTACAAAAAGATTTCAATTATTTTTTAGCTCTTTTTTTAAATTTGGTACATCTAATAATTTTAAAAAATATAAGTTAGCACTCCTTGTTGCTTGATAACTATTGTTTTTTATAGCTACTTCCACTTTTTAATGTTTTGATATACTCTTATATATTTTCAATATATGAAAATACAAAATATAATAAGATATATCAAGGCAGATAGGAATGCACAAAGTATACTATCTATCTTTGATTTCACTATTGGCTATGACAGACTTTCTGATTGTCGTTCTAGAAAGAGAAAAAACCTAATAATACTAGTGACAATCGACATAATTTTAATACAGGATAACAATGCATGTTATTAATCTCCATAATCATAATACAATAGATCATGCTTAGTTATCAATTTACGAAAATCTGAATACACTATAGGCAATAAAACGGCTGCTATTCTGTTATCTAGTCCAGATTCTAAATGCATATGATTATCCATCGATCATTATTAACAAATGATATAGATGTTGAAAATTTTTTCTACATACTACTTCTTTTCTTTCCATTATTCATCAGTTTAAACGACTTTATAGGATAATTTAGTCTAAAGAAAGTGACTTGATTAGAGTCTTTCAGACTAGTCTGGACCAGGATGAATGACACTCTTTAGAAAAGGACTAGTCTTGGCGAGTGAAGACGACGCGTCGGTATAGTCCTAACTACTATCGAAGATGTTCCAGACTAGTTAAACTCGTGTGACATCGACTGGTTTCTGATTGTTTACGGGATGGAAAGGAATCAATTTTGTATTTTAGAATGTAAATGGGCGTCAGTTCATTCCAGTGTCCTAGTCTCCCGTCAGGATGATCGTCAGGTTTCGAATACTGTCGGGTTGGATGTTCGAATTCACCGTTTATCTTCTTTTTTTAAAATGCGGACTAGTTTGGACGGGTTCACTGGACAAAACGGACCAGGCATGACGGGGTTGGAAGACATTCTAGACTAGTCCAGATGTGTTCGAAGGACATTTCTCCTAAAGGTGACTAGTCATGTCGGATGTGCAAGACGTTTCAGACTAGACCTGACGGGTATTGCGGACATTTCGGACTAGTCATGTCGGCCGTCATGCATAATTTTTTGCTTACTTGGGATATCAGGTGATTTTAATCGGGATGGAGAACTGGATTGGGCAGTTATCAATCAAGATGATAACACTGTCAGTGTAGCACTTGGATATGGAAATGCAACTTTTGAAAATCTACAGACTTATAACGTTGGTGCGACACCAGTCTCTATGGTATATCAGGATTTTAATAAAGATGATAAAGTAGATTTGGTAGTGGTAAACTATGGCGATAATAGTATTAGTGTGCTGCTGGGTAATGGTGATGGGACGTTTCAGGCTCAAATTACTTACGAAGTTGGTATGAGTCCAAGTGCTGTAGTCGCAGCTGATTTCAATAATGATAGCAAGATGGATTTAGCATTAACGTTTTCGAATGAATCTTCCATCGGTGTGTCATATGGAAATGGTGATGGAAGCTTTCAGAGACCTGTAAGATATAAGGTTGGTACTGCACCAAGTGCTATGAGAGCAGATGATTTTAACGACGATGGTAGAATAGATCTGGTAGTGGCAAATTCTGGAGAACACACGTTCAGTATGTTGATTAACGGTGTTGATGGAACATTTCAAGATCAAATTAAATATGCTACTGGTGCGAATCCGGTAGCGATAACTTCAGCTGATTATGATAACGATAAAATAATCGATGTGTTGGTGGTCAATAAGGGAGATAATAGTGTCTCCTTGCTACTAGGTAATGGAGATGGAACCTGTCGTGGTCGAATGCCGCACAGGCTCGAGAAGATAGCCGATTCGATCATACAATGGGTTATTTAATTTCAGTCTGAATTTATCAAATAAAAATAATACTTGATTTCAAACTGAAACGTGAGTCTAGGAGTGAGGGGGGGGGAGTGACTGAGGGTGTGGGTGTTGGTCTGGGACCCACACACACACCCACACCCATGGTGCGGGTGTGGGCGCGTGAGTGAGGGTGAGGGTGTGCTTGTGGCTTTGTGTACTATAGGCTTTAGTCCCCTGCACAGGGGACTAAGCGGGGACTAAGCTTTTTGTGGGGAGGACTAAGGGGGACTTTGCAGGACTAGGGGGGACTAAGGGTTTTTAGTGAGACTACGTAGTATCAAACGAGAAAAGTTTGATTCGGAAGAAATTGGTGTGGTTTTTTTGATTTTAGAATTCAGTTTGAAATAAAAAAGCCCATAGACTCGATTCGATGGCAACAGGTGATTTCAATAATGATACGAAATTAGATCTGGTATTAACTAATACAATTGATCACAGTATTACTCTACTTCTTGGTAGTGGATATGGTACCTTCCAATTTGAAATAATATATAAGATTCATTCCCCACCGACCTTCGTAGTAGTCTATGATTTGAATAATGACACGATGGTAGATCTGGTTCTTGTCAATCAGCACAACGACACCATCACTTTGCTGTTGGGTAATGGAGATGGAACCTTTCAAAATGGAACAAAGTTCATGACTGCTAGCCGACCGAGTTCTGTAGTTGTAGGTGATTTCAATAATGATAACAAACCAGATCTAGCAGTCACCAACTTAGGCGCTCACAACATTATTGTTCTATTGGGATATGACAATGGTACTTTCCAGACTAATACAACGTTTAAGTGTGGTGCTAGCCCTACTTTTGTGATATCAGTTGATTTAAATCGTGACCAGATCATGGATCTCGTAGTGACCAATCTAGGTGACCATACGATTAGTATTTTATTTGGCTGGGGAAATGGAGATTTTCAAGCTCAAATAAAATACGAAGTTGATAGGGAACCAAATCATGTAATGTCAGGCGATTTTAATAATGACAATAAAATGGATTTAGCAGTGCTCGGTCGACTTTCGAATCATATGGATGTATTGTTTGGTGATGGAAATATGACATTTCCGATTCGAAAACGGTATGGAACAAGTAGTAGTCCAGGTCCAGCCGTAGCCTATGATTTCAACAAAGATAGAAAAATCGATATTGCTGTGCTGAACAAACTTTCTAACCTATTATATATTTTCTTAAACGAGTGCTCATAAACATTCAAGTAACATTTATTTACAAGTGTATCAATAGATTATTCATGCAATATATGAAGTAGCTATGAACTAAGTCATGTTAAAAGATCTCTTTTTTATCTTAATACACTCAGTTATCATTCTCTACTGTGGTTTGTTTGTCTTTCTTATTACTTGCAAATACCAAAAACGAGTGGGACTAGGTAGCAGATTGCAATGACAAATGAACTGCGTCATATATGCGCCATTTGTAGGACTTGAACCATGCATCTTCTGCTTTATGACCAGTTGTAATAGTATGCTTTTTTTTCCATGATATTACAAGTAGTTGAAATTTGTACTAGATAGAACTCAATCTTAATAATATATAGTAAAGATGTAATCTGGAAACGTTGCATTCTTGCACAATTGCACTACAGGGTGCGTAAAAATGTTTTTCCACGAGGGTAACGATATGATTTTCAACAACACTACTAACAAATTTTATACCAAATGAAAGTGGTTCAAAAATGGGATTTATTAGTATTGAATCGTAAGAGTTTTGTCAATTTTTCTATATCAAACATAGTAAATCTCTAGAAATTTTCGCTATTTTAGTATGAAAAAATTTCTTTCATAAGGCAGGTCGAACGAAATCTAATTCAAACTTATGGATGACATGAAGCAGATCTATTTTTCAGTTTCGATGAATAGAATCAATAATCAGAATGACGTCCATTAGCATTTTTTTTACTACACGAAGACGTGACGGATAGGAACATCAGAGAGTTTCAAACAACTCGATGTTTGTTTCCATCTTTGTCCGATCA